ACTGTACCGACAATACTGCCAAGTGAATACAAAATCCGTCAAAAGTTATAAGCATTTTATTTTAATAGTAGCGAAAAATACCATATTTTGAAAAAATCACAGCTTTTCATAGAAATGTTCAATAGGTCTGAGAGATATGCCATTCTACAGATAAACGCCTTAGCTATAAAATTATATGTGTTTTAGCTTGGGAGAACGTTTGATTGTTAAGTTAAAAAAATTTTAAAATGCTGCACATTTTCCACTTGTTTTATGTTTCTTTTCGAAAACGTTTAGAAAAATTTGCCATATATTACCACAAGATTTCATTCTGTTGCATCATGGCAGTCGCGGTGACAACCAAGCTAAAACACACATCATTTTATAGCTAAGATGTTTATCTGTAGAATGGCATATCTCTCAGCTCTATTGAACATTTCTATGAAAAGCTGTGATTTTTTCAAAATATGGTACTTTTCGCTACTATTAAAATAAAATGCTTATAACTCTCTCTATAAGGATTGAACGAGAATGCAAATGGTTTTCAGATTCGTAATCAGCATCCTTAAATTAGCAAAGTGGAGTACATTGCTTTGAAATCTCAGGGAAACACTTTTGGACCTTCCCTCGTTAGTAATAGAGAGCGAAAAAGATGCTGAAACTATACGTCTTTGGATCTTGAAATATTGCAATAATGATGGAAGAAATGTCAAGATGATATTTTTCATAAATCCTATAGCGTTCTGTAGAGAGTTTCAACCGTCTACTTATAACCACAAAATTTTGTGGACTTTAAACTAGTACTAGATACATTGGTTTAAATTTTCGACTTCAATTTGCTTGTAATATTTCACCTTGCTGGAGTAACCGTCATTTAAAAAGTGTGTTAAAAAAAATATGTGAATTATATTCAAAATAATTACAATTACTTTATAAAAGTAGTTCATTGACACGATAACTCGAGAATAATTTTGTAGCACAACTGTAGAGAATTAATCAGAAACACAATCTGAAGTCTTATCTCATTCTAATTGGATTTAATCAGCTCGTACAATCTTAATGACTCCTGTAATATTTTCGTTATAAAACGTTCTATAGCGAAATGTTTCGATCTTTGTCACACTTCTGAGCTCAAACATACGAAAGATATTGTCAAATATTGTATAAAAATTTGGCAGAAATACTTGTCACATTCAAATGATGATCTATTAGTTTATGGGACCAATTTGGGTCAAGTCAAAGTTATTCTTTCCACCTCTTCTATTTAAATTGCCGCTTGTGTAATGGAAATAAAGAGAAAAAAATCTTTTTTTTGACATTAAATGTATAACGTTAACACTGTACACACAGAAGAGAAAATGTACAGGAAAAATAAAAAATTTCCTATGTTATTCTGTTTTTGCATTAACGTTTTCCTCTCACCTTATTATACATATTTTTCACGTATACGCAACTTTTTTACTTTTTCTTGGGATTTGTGTATGTTTTAGTATGTGTGTTTTCGGTATCTAAGTCCGGTCGGAAAAAAATATAGATTATTATTATTACAGTATTATTGCTTTGTATTTTAACAGATAAATCAGTTATACCAACGTAATGATGATAAGATTCAAACCAAAATAATGGACGGATCAGAAAAAAGACTATTGAATGTGTTATTATACAGCAAAACCAGAACTGCAATTTATGACGATACACTTTTATCGCGACATAAAAGACTATTAGGAATACCAGATAGTGTTCTAACTCTAGGAGGAACACGTATGTTAAGCCAGTTTTTTACAATATAATTGATGATATTAGTTAAAAATCAGTTGTAGTAGTCTCAGGGATGTCTTCCACTTAAGGGTGAAAATCTCCAAATTGACCAACCTGTACTACTTGAACTTACGACCAATTTTTTGATAAAACACATTTTTTAAAGCAAGTTTTCGATGAACATTACTAATATAATATTTGTTTAGGCTGATATACCTTTCCCTGATCAATACTGAGAAACTGAGATCTTTAAACGATCCGTCACTATTGAGCTTTTCCCAGAATAAAAGGCCATTTTGGAGAGAAATTTTTTTGAAAATCATCGAAAAAAATGTTCGATCTGCAAAACTGTGATAAAACGTTATCACATTGTATTCTGTGGGAGCGACTTATTTCAGAGTAGTAGAGTTCGACAGTACTAGACTCATGAACAGATTACGTTTTCTATGCGCAAATATTGTTCAAATCAGAGTTATAGAACATATAATTTACGAAAATCATTCAACTGGAGCATTCAAACGTCTAAGTTTTATAATACTGCAAAAAATCTAGATATTAGGTCTAACGATAGTTTAATGTAGTACAGAAAAGCTAAAGCATTTGAAACTTGGATTGGTCCTCACTACTCGAGTCGGTCTCAACGCTGCCTTTGTGAAACTTTTCTTTTAACACAGGCGAGAATATATGTTGAAGGTTACAACAGTATTATGTCCATGTTCAGAACTGGTTACTCATCTTCTTACTAAACATCGTCCTAAGAAATCTAGATTAAAGGAAAATATATTGCAAAAATTCTGTATGTGCAGCAGGAGCTTATTGAATTTTGAAAGAGCTTATTTTTTCTAAAACAGAGATTGTAAAACAAAGTTTTAACGTTCAAACAAAGTCGAGTCTTAAAAATCATTGTTAGAACTAATATCTGCGTTTTTGTAGTATCATAAAACTTATGTTTAATTAATTTTACAACCGCTTTGTAGTTACTAGAGTATCAGACAGAATTCATTTATGAAAGAATCAAAAGAGTATACCACGACCTGTTTCAACCTTTCGCAAGGGTCTTGTCAGGTGGTTTCCTTCGAGAAAGACAGAGTTAAGGCACGAAAAGCAACACAAGTCCATCATACCGTATGAGGGTGTTACTATTCCTTGTTCTTATCGAACAAAGAACGATAGCTTTCACACGACGATGCCACATCAGCACGATATTTACTGTACAATGCACATGTTACGCTTCTCTACATTAAGTATTTCTTTTTTTATTCTAACAGAAATTCATCCTTTTAAATTTAAACTATATCTGGCAACTTTCACTCAACAACCGTTGAGATTCTTTTGATTCTTTCATAAATGAATTCTTTCTAGTCTCTAATAACTACAAAGCGGTTGTAAAATTAACTAAACATAATGATTCAAGTCGAGTTTCACAATTATATATGATCATAAGAATTAGACGTTTGAATGCTCCAGTTGAATGATTTTCGTAAATTGAATGAATGTTCTATAACTCTGATTTGAACAATATTTGCGCATAGAAAACGTAATCTGTTCATCAGTCTAATACCGTTGAATCCTACTATTCTGAAATAAGTCGCTCCCACAAAATACAAGGTGATGACCTTTTATCGTAGTTTCGCAGATCGAACATCTTTTTCGATGACTTTGAAAAAGATTCCTCTCCAAACTGACCTTCTACTCTGGGGAAGGCTCAATGAATACTGTTGAACTCTGTTATTCTGAAGCATAGTGGTAGATCTTTAAAAATCCATTCAACAAAAACAATATTGTTAACAGACTATTTTTAAATCGTTCTTTCCGTTCCTTTGCATGTAACTTCGGTCGGTTTTCGGACGGTAAGAAAACGATCTATACACGATACCGTATACTTGTGGTCACACCAAAACAAAAAGGTGGCCAACTTGAGAAAAAGATGAAAAACGATGAAAGAACCAGAAACGGAACGTTATGTTTGACTCAGGCATTTTTTTCGTATGAGGCTTGAAAGGTCTAATAGCTGAAAATGATATCTGATTTGTAATCGTTATCGACATTACCTCTTAAAATCTGTGTTTTATTAAAAATACATTCTACCAGACAGAAACAATTTTCAAGCAAACCGACACTGAAATACTGTTTCGATATGTCGACTAAAGACTATAATACTTAATATTTATCCTTCTCTTTGATAATATAGAAATATAGTATAGTTAACGATATTAACCGATTCTCTGTTTCAAACGCAAAAATCCGCTTTTCGTCCACTATTCTGACTTTAATTTTCGTTAATAGAAGTATGCTGGATGAGGTTTTTCGACGTCCCATCTGATCATAGTTTTTAGAAATATCACCCTCTTCCATACTCCAGGATATTGACAAGACGACGCTACCAACGTCAGATTTGTATACTTATTAATAAATTAGCTAGTTACTGTCATTTTTGATTTTCTATTTAGTACCATCATGGGCTACCATATTAATCGCTGTAGTGATCATTATAATAATTTGTGTATGTATTGGATGTTGCTTAAAACGTTTATGTGGCAAATGTTTTAAAAAGAAAGGTGTAAAAGGTGGAAAAGGAATCGATTTAGGAACAGTTAAATCATTTTCATTACATAAAGAAAAGGTAAAAGCCCGCATAAAAGGTTAAGCTTTAGAGGACACATACGTATGACAATGATAAACTAACTGAAACCTATACTATTATTGACAAGGTTCAACCAGGTATCGAAGAATTAACAAAAAATATGGAAGATAATGAAGATGCCGAATCAAGAAAATCGGAACCACAAACTTCAGGAAAATTAGAATATTCATTAGATTATGATTTTCAAAAGCAAGAGGTAAGAAATTGTTTATTATTCAAGCAAATTATGAATTATATGTATTTGCCATTTTTTAATAGAGTTAAAGTTAGATACTTTAGTTCCGTATTTTAATTTTAATTTTATTTAAATTTTAAAATTTAACAAAAACAACAAACCTTTCGACCTCTTTTAATTGAGGTCTTCTTCAGTGTACATAATAAAATATATAAAATATAAAATGTAAAATATAGTTAAAATTCTATATCATATAACTTGTGCAGACTTAAAATGTAGAGTGACTGCTATTTATAGTATGTTTTTCCTTTTTCCTTTTCTTTCATTTTCTTTTCTTTAACTACATCTATTAAAGTTTCTCTCTCTTACTGAAGAAGACCTCAATTAAAAGAGGTCGAAACGTTTGTTGTTTTTGTTAAATTTTAAAATTTAAATAAAATTAAAATTAAAATACGGAACTAAAGTATCTAACTTTAACTCTATTATATATCTAGTCCGTATCGACCAATAGTTATAATCTCAATATTTCCATTTTTTCTAGCTCAAAGTAGAAGTAATACGAGCGCAAGAATTACCAGCGATGGACATGGGCGGTACATCGGATCCTTATGTTAAACTTTATATATTACCGGATAAAAAGAAAAAATTTGAAACAAAAGTTCAAAAAAAAACATTAAACCCAGAATTTAATGAAACATTTATATTCAAGGTATAACTGACGCTTTTTGTACTCGAACATAAATTAAATTAAATTTTTTCTGTTTACTTTGCTTGAAGAACTTGCCATATGGTGAAATTGGAGGGAGAACACTTGTATTTGCTGTCTATGATTTTGATCGATTTTCTCGTCATGATCAAATTGGTGAACTTCATATACCATTGAATTCAGTTGATTTGGGCAAAGTTATTAAAGATTTCAGAGAACTATCACCACCTCCCGGAGAAGGAGAAGCAGTAAAATTGATTTTAGGAATCTTTCTAACATCATTATTATATTATTCTATTTTTTACAGGAAAATAAACTCGGTGAAATATGTTTTTCTCTACGCTATGTACCAACAGCTGGAAAATTAACAATAACCGTATTAGAGGCTAAAAATTTGAAAAAAATGGATGTGGGTGGATTATCAGGTACGATGACAGCGAATTTTTTTGTGCTTGAAATTACAAGATTATGCCTGTGAAAGTTCACGTTTCCTTCCTTGAACGTGAACGTTAAAGCACTGGTGAACGTGAAGTTTTTCAGATACGAATGATGCTCATATCGTCTGAAGTATAAATATAAACTTCTGTTCTTGTACTGTAGTAGATCAAGACATTGATTGTTCCAACAACAGATCGCGGATTTCCCGTCCAGAAGACTTGATTCTGCGGTACTGGAACCGAAGTTCCTTGGTCCAAACCGTTACAGTACTACATACGTTTTCCTTTGTTATCGTAACCCATTTGGGACAAAGGAGCGTTGAGTTTCACTAAATATAACTGGCAACGGAGAAAGCTGTTTCACTTGGTATGCTACTAGGTGAAATTGCTATATAACGTTTTGAAATACTATTCATTCCACAGAAGATCAACATCGTTCGTATAAAATAAAGTTAACGTTCAACGGAACATTCGCGTTCATGTTCCAAAAACCTCATGTTTAGCGTTCACGTTCAAGGAACGCCAACGTGCTTTAGCGATACCTTCAAAGAGAACGCTAAAAAGGAACGTTGAACTTTTGCAGGCCTAGATTTAATTCGATCCGATTTGAAGAAATAATCATTTGATATTTTTGGATTAATGAAAAATAAAATGATACTCTTAGGACATTGAAGGAGGAGTGTAACTAACATCACCCTATTTCTATTTTTGCAACTCTACACTGCGAAAAAAAAGTGAGCCTCTGGTGAGGTTTAGGGCACATGAAAGTGCCCTGAGTATACCGCAGTCAATGTGACAACAAAAAGTAGGGCACTTTCACGCGCCCCAAACCTCACCAACGGGCATTTTCTTTTTCGCAGTATATATGAAATGTAAACTACGTTGATAAATAACAGTGTACAATGATAATTAAACGATGTATATTCCACTGAGAATTTCTTTTCTATCTAATATCATAGTGGCTATAATGTTTTTCAAGATTATTCTGACTGCTTTTTCTACTAATCGATAGCGTACACAAGCTGGTGACAGATCTCTGTTGTGCTTACAAATATGGTTTTTATTTTAATTACTTTAGATCCCTATGTAAAACTGTCGTTAATGATGAATGGAAAAAGAATAAAAAAGAAGAAAACATCAATTAAAAAATGTACACTAAACCCGTACTACAACGAATCATTTTCATTTGAAGTACCATTTGAACAGATACAAGTAATAAAATTAATTTCGTCTAATGTGAACAAGAATGCTATTTCTCTCTTAATATCTCTTCTTTCTTTTTTGTTCTAGAAAGTACAATTAGTAATAACTGTAGTTGACTATGACAGAATTGGAACATCTGAGCCCATAGGTAATAAATTACAGTTAATCTCGAGTTTAAATATCATTTTTTTTTCACTTCATTTTAGGTAAAGTTGTTTTGGGTTGTAATGTAGGTGGTAGTGAACTTCGTCATTGGACTGATATGTTAGCATCACCTCGACGACCAATTGCTCAATGGCATTCACTAAAAGATCCAGAAGATGGTAAACCATCTTAGTTTTAATATTATTATTTGTGTAAAAATATTCAATCATTCCAAATTTAATTACGAAAAATATAATTCCAATGCGCCTTTACTACTTCATTTTATTAACCAAATAATGTTCGTGCAATATTATTTGATTTTATTTTGATTTCAATTCTCATCAAGAGAAGCTTCATTTGTTTATTTCTATGTTTTACTTTTTCTGTTTGCCAATGTAATAAAACCCAGTAATTTTCCTTTGATTGTTGTTGATGCACTTCCTTTAGGTACATGATTTTATTTTTAAAATTCCATACTGTGTCTTATTAATGATATTTTTTCTCTTCTTAAAACGTCGACTCTTGTTTAACTAGTCGAATAGACTAACAAAAACAGAATATGAAGGAACTTTTTCTATAACTTGTCGGCTACGCCTTTACTCTGTATTTATTCTGTTGATAGCTTTTTTATTAGAGATCATCTTATTTTGAATCTAGAAAAAATTATCAAGTTATAATCATGACAGTGAAAACAGTGATATCTTCCAGTATTTTATTCAGTCGACACTGGTATGATATATCACATATCTGTTGATCCTAATTTTCTTTCCGAAGTATTTTTTTTTTGTGTTTTTTGTTGTTTTCTATAGATACTATAAAAATTTCTTCTTATTGTAGTTTTTGATCGCTGTTTCTGTTGTACTTTCTACTAATTACATACATAAAACTTAACAGCGGCTAAATTAAATCCATTATCAAGGTACTAATCACAGTAGCCTCATGCAAAGGGCTACTAATTGAATCTGGATCGTCCACTGTGTGGAATAGAATCTTTATTTATAAAAAAACCGGTGGAAGCCGATGGTGGCTTCTTTATGACCGTTAATTGAGAAAGTGGTTTTAGCTGTTCATACACGAAAATATGGGGACTCAGTAATTATTTTTATACAGATGAAGGGGTGTCGACGGGTAAATGCTCTACACTTAAAATGTTCATAAACGACTACTAAATTCGTAAAATCTCCATCATTTCTGAGCAAAAAATCAATGGTAATACCCCCAGACGAAAATCATTGAAAAAAAGTGACTGAGGACACAATTGAAACCAAAGTATTTAGCAGTACGAAAGATAATCACGCATATTTTAAATATGTGCTAAGTATTTACCTTATGTAAATAAACTTTATTATGTAAAATGACATTTCGAAATAGATTTTATTAACAATATGGTCCATCATGGTCATCCATACGCTTTACGGCTGATAAAATATTAATGAACAAAAAACTTTCACTATGGAATGATGGATGGCTCGGAAATGAGCTTCTACAGTTAGAAGTACTTTACGTATGATAATCAGTCATGATAGTTTGTTAGGAAGTATAAACCAAATTTCACATCAGCAATGGTCATCTTTCAAA